ATATATATATATATATATATATGAAACTAGAAATGGAAAATTATTGACGATAACATGTATGATTAAGCCACTAGCAATGTATTCTGGATGGGAAATCACATTCTGTATGCTGTGTCAATGCTCAGGGAATTAATGTACATCCGACTAAGAAGTTTCTGCATGGCAAAAGACACAGTAATTAGTGTGAATCCACAGCCCTCAGAATGGGAAAATATTTTTGTAAACTATGCATCAGATAAGGGATTGATAACCAGAATACATAAGGAACTAAAGAAGCTGTTTGGAAAAAAGATGATGTCTTACATTGTTGGTGGGAATGTAAATTATTACAACCACTGTATAGAACAACATGGAGATTTCTTAAAGACCTACAAATAGAACTACCGTAGGATCCAGTAATTATACTCCTGGGTATCTAGGAATATACTCAATCAGAAAATTACTTGCACATCGTGTTTATTGCTCATTCACAATTGCTAAAATATGGGATCAACCTAAAAGTCTCAGAACAGATGAATGGATTGAAAAAGTGTGGCACATATACACTACAGAATTTATAAAAAAACAATGATACCTTTGCATATGATCAAAAAGTGGATGAATATCAAAAAATTAGTGCTGGGTGAAGCAAGGCAGACTATGAAAGAGAAACTTTGTATGTCCCACTTAATATATCCTGAATATCCTCACTTTATGGCAGAAGCTGAAAGATTGGAAGGTATAAAGACAAGGAGAGCAACTATAGCTAGCAGAGACAGTGTGGGAGGAGGGTGGACAAATGGACAATAGGGGTGTAAGATCAGGAGGGAAGGACAAAATCAATGGTGGAAGAAAATAAGAAACAAAATCATTTAATGAACACAAAAATGGAAAATTACCTGGTAATGATAATGTATATGGTAATATCTTTTACTGTACTAATATACAATGTATTCATGTTGGGGAAAGCCATTGAATATGCTATAAAGATGTACAGTAATTTATTTCCTATTAGAAAATATATATCATGATATATTTACCGTAACTTTGAATATTCAGGTAAAAAATGCTTCTAATTCTAATGGTGATTTCCAAAAATTATTCGCAAAATGTTTTGAGCAATTGCAGAAAAACTGAGAGAAACACACAGCATCCTACAGAATACAATAGAGGCAAACGGCACTAATATGGTTGATAAGATTCTGACCTGCTTAGTCAAAATTCAATTGTGTTAGTATTTAGCCTGAAACCTTTTAAGTATTTGTTTTAATAGAGGATTTGAGGATTTGAGTGGGTACAAAAGGGTATGTCTAAGAAATGCCATTGACAGCTGAAAATTTTAAATTCAATACCCTTAGTTCTTTTATTTATAACTGAAGTTTCTGTGTTAAGAATGTAGATAACTCACTGTCTGTATTAATACACAAAATTCAATAGATAATATTCTGGCCAATCAACAACCCAAGGATAAAATAGTTTCATATTCTATCTAATACTGCAATCTTACTTTTTGAAATAAATGCATAATCTGAATGCCTCCTTGACAATCTAGTTCTTATAACAACTACAGAAAGAAAAATAGAATTAATTTTCTACTCTATAATGTGAATATGCAATGACAATATTTTAAAGTCACTCTGTCTAATGTCCCCATAATGTTCAAACTTAAAATAATGCTGGTATTCAGGCCCTGAAGAGCATAGAGATTATAGCAGACTTCTGCATTAATCCCACATTGATTGTTCTGCATGAGAAGGTTTATTTTAAGCTGTATAAAGTTTACTAGTTTATTAGTTTTTAATTACATTCTATTAAAATTTCTCTCTGGGGCTTCTCTTATAATCAGGTGAGAATACTTGATCATTATTTAAAAAACAAAAACAAAAACAAAAAAATAACTTTCATTTCAATGCTTAGAGGTGACAGAATCAAACATTTATTATTTCCAGTTTTTATTATAATTGGGATTTAATACCATTCAATTCAGATCTAAATTTTATGACCTCATCTTGCAGCATAGAAAGAAAGCTAAACACTTTGTGTCTACCTTTAAGATTACATCTTTGAGTTAATTCTTTATCCATTATTCTTTTTTCTTCTAACTGAGTTGCCTTTACTTCAGTAAATTGCCCTGGTGATCAGATATCATTAGCACGTGTATAAATTCTCAGCTGCATGCCTTGGTGATTTATCCATACTAGCAATTTCTGATTTCTAATAGTCCAAGAGAGTACAACTGGTTGATTATCAGTTTTTGTTCTAAGTGATCATAGGATAACCGTCTTGCTTCAATCAATGAATTCGAGGTTAAACCTAATATAAATTGCTTCCAATCCTGAGTTCCTTGAAAACAGAGACTCAGATGTGTATTTTTCTATCGTGCCTAACATCGCATATTAAACTTAGAAATACACTTTGAAATCTTGAATTTAAATACAGCTACTAGGAAGCTTGAGTGTATTATTTAGCACAATAGGCATCTAAAAACCTTGTCTGTCCAAATTTTAAGCAGTCAGGTGGTTAGGGAAGCAAAAACGAAGAAATACCCTAAGTGACTAATATCTTTGATCCTCAATATCTCATTTTTCTCCACTGTAAAACAGAGTTGATAAAAACAGTAGAAACCACTTCAAAGTGTTATGAGGATTAAATGAAACACTCACCATAAAATACAGCAATTAGATATTGTCTGTCACATAATATACATCAATAAGAGTAGAGAATTAATAAAGTATAAAGTATAATGGCCCTGGGATTTCTCCTTGGGAGAAGAAAGCTAAGTAATATTTTTTTGACTCCCTATTATACACATAGTGCTTTTCCTAGATTAATTTCCTTGTTAGACTTTACATAATTAGATATCTATACTATAAATAGAAACGGAGACTCAAGGGAGTTATGATTATTTACTGTGATGTGTTTAACAGCATAGAAATGTTGGAGGTCAGGACATGCTACTTCAAAATATGTTACTTTGGCATTTGGAAGACCTCAAAAATAAGAACATCACTCTCAGCTCTCACCCACGTCTCTGAAGCAGGCCATAACACCTTCATTCCAGAGCTGTCTACCCTAAACTTTATACTCATAAAAGAAAGTACTCTTTTGTATGGTCACATAGAGAAGAATCTGAACAGGCCTTGCTATATTACCCCAAATATATTAAATTAAATTACACCCTTTTTGTCCAATTGTGCTTTCTTACCACTATCAACTTCATCAAACTAAGCATAAAAATACAGATTTCCTTGTTTCTCTAGGTTTTCCTTTCTGAAGGCTCCTACATAAAACTTAATATGTATGTTTTTCTGTCGTTAGTCTATCTTTTATTAGAGGGGCCTCAGCTATGAACTTCGTTATATGTGAGGAAATAATCCAGAGTTCACACGCATAATTTAGGAGACCAGGAGAAGTTGCACTTTCCTTGGTATGAACCTGAGTGCAATGACATTAGGCCTGAAGGCAAGAAGAAGGACAGACTGTGGCACAAAGGCTATTTGCTTCTGTATTCAAATTCATGGAAGATTGAGAAGTTCGTGATTAGACAGTGTTCATTTGGAGATAGTGTAAAAGAAATCTTATATTTTCAGATAGCAGTTTAAATATCAAACAACACACATTTATACACAGTATAGTAAGCACTTAACACATATTAACCATTGCTATTATTACCTGATAGAGATGTGGTTGAAATATAATTACGCATTCTGTAATTCTGAATATAATGGTGACACGGTTACAAACTGGGAGGTCACGTGTCCTAGTATAGTTCCTTTGTACTTCCTTTTTTTTCCAATTGTTATGCACGGCAATGAAAGCCCTGCTGACTTAAGTCACAGATGACAGAATGGCACTGCCAACAAACAATAGCAAGGATTCAGAAAATATTACGTTTTATGAAAATGCTAAATGAAACAGTCAAACCTTTGTGGTTGATGACAATAGGCAGGGTATTCTCAGCAGCTAATGCAGTCTCTAATCTAGTATAAACCAAAAATTTCGACTATTTAGGAAAATTACTTGCAGCAATTTTAATTTTAAGACGTTTAAAATGCGGAGACCACCTAAAGAGAATCCTTTTCTATTTCAGAGTATTCAGTGTTTTCATTTCATTTAATGTGGCTCTTAGGTTTTTATATTTCCTTTTCAAGTTTCCAACATGTTAGAAACTTAGAGTGGATTAATGAAAAAAGTGAAAAAATATATTTTGATATAATTCTCACCCTTATAGTCAGTTTCTTTCTTCTGAGAGTTTACGATAACAAAACAAGGTTAAATTGTACATTAAACTTTCCTTGCTAGTAGTTCTTAAGAAGATTAATCTGTGTCTACTAATAACTTTAAGGTCCTTTATAAAAACAGAAAATGCAAAGTATTAAGTGAATATTTATGAAGTCTAAGATCAGAATATTGTTTTTCCAGAGATTCTCATTTTTTTAATTATTTATTTTTTTTGTGTTTGCTATAGGACTGTGTGCTCGCCACACAGAGACAAAAAGTGACGGACAGGAAAAGTGAGAAAGCAAGACACCAGGTCTAGGACTCGAAACATGGTTTGGCATATGAGAGTCCAGTTCCTTAACCACCACTCCACTTATTGGCCCCCATAATGCTCTTTTTTTGAGCCTCCTTAGTGACCTATCACATCCCAAACTTTCTCATAATGTGTGCTAAATTCATCAGATAAATCACACAAGTCCTCTTGTAATATTCCATGTGCTTGTCACATCGTTGCAGTGAGAGTTGGTTTTCCTCCATGTTATCACTTAAATGAGGAGAATAGCAGTTTACATAGTCCATTCAGATCAAAACGACATCATGGACTAATTAAACTTCTAACATAAATTTTAAAAGATTTGTATCAAGTAGCAGTGGGATTTTTTTTGGAGAGGTCTTTTTTTTGTTTTTTTGTTTTTGTTTTTGATTTTGTTTGCTATAGGGTGTGTGCACTCTCCAGAAAGACAGTGAGAGACAGACAGACAGAAAGTGAGAAATCACCCCCTGGGAAGATGGCCATGCCACAAGCCCTTCTCCTCCATTCTCCTCTCAGACTCTTAGGCATGCACACACATACGCCTGGCTTGAGTTTTAAGCCACCAGGTCTGGGACTCAAACAGCGGTTGACTTCATGGGAGTCCAGTGACATAGCCATTACACCAACTGCTGGTTCCAGCAGTAGTATTATGTAGAATGATAACTTCAAGCAAGATTTTAATGAAATAAAAGTTATCTTCTGTGTAATATGACCTATGAACAAGCTTTTTATTTTTTAATGGTCTTCTGTTTATATATGTGTGTGTGTATGTGTAGGTCATGCATATATTTTTAAATGATGGATAGGGTATTGTAGTGCCATCATTTTTATCTGCTTTAGCTTAGAATGCACATAGGCAGACATTACCAGACAACATACACAATGCCAGTTAAATTGAACTTCTGGTAAACAATGAGTAATTTTTAAAAAGAAAATAAGTTCGTCCCAAATATAGTATATAACATATGTATACTAAAATCTTATTCATTGACAGCTTAGCCATGGTGGCACAAGTGGCACCACTAAGTAATGGCAGCTGAAACCACATGGGGAAGTACAGGCATCATTCCTGGCCTAACCTAACAAGGCTGGGCACAGTGGCACCCTGTTAGAAAGACAGAGGTATGGTGCCACGTAATTTCATGGAGCTGATACTTTCATAGAAGTTAGACATTTCAAAACAATAAATAAATGAATGCATAAGAGAGTATCAGTTCTGTAATGAAAACAAAAGCAGAAGAAGTTATAGAGAGATTGAAGAGCTACTCTTTATTGAGGGCTAAAGGAAACCTCAGTGAAGAAGGCATGGTGGTTAAGGCACTGGATTCCCACCTCAGTGACCGTGGTCTGAATCTTGGACCTGGAGGCTTACATTCTCACTTTCCCTCTCTCTCCCATTCTCTGTCTTTCTCTGATCAAATTAGAAAGTAATAAAAGTAATGAAGTTAAATCAATTATTCTTAAAAAAATAAGTGACATTTATAGTGAAAAACAAATAAGTAGGAACCAGTAATGGAAGTGAAACATCAAATATATGAAAATAAATAAAAGTTATATGACTTGGCATATTAAGACAACAGCAGGGAACCAGCAGTTAGCGTAATGGCTATGTCGCTGGACTCCCACATAGTCGACTGCAGTTCGCGTTCCGGACCCGGTGGCTTAAAACTCATGCCGGGCGCGTGTGCGTGCATGCCCAAGATCCCGAGAGGGGAATGGAGGAGAAGGGATTGCGGCATGACCATCCCCCCTGGGGGGTGATTTCTCACTTTCTGTCTCTCTATCTCTCTCTGTCTGTCTGGCGAGTGCACGCACCCTATAGTGAAAAAAAAAAAAAACTCTCCAAGACAATAGCAAAAAAAAAGCATAGTGAAAGTGACACTGGATAGTACACACAAGGAGTTGTATGAGGTAAATCCACAGAGATAGACATTCTCTGACTAATTGGGTATCCAGAAGGCCAAGGTAATAAATTTAGATTTTATAATAAACAGTAGGAAGAAGAGGGTGTCAAACAGATAATTTAAACAGACAAATTTGTTATTTTTAAAGATAATTATAATGAATGGATTATAAGAAGATGATTCTGTAAACTAGAAGACTGTTGAGCCATTATAACAAGATTAAGAGGGTAAAATATTGAGTACATTATGTGCAGAAGGATAGTGCCTTTGGTACAAAATTAGTGACTCAGTAGTTGGGGTGAGACCTTCATGTTTGAGTCCTCATATGTTTATAAAGAGAGGAAATGAGAAAAAAATAAACCAATATTGAACACTAATCACACTACTATGAATTTACCTGCCATCCTCTCAGCTTCTGACAGACATTACAAGGTTATGGTTACAGAGTAATCAGTCTGATGCTAGCCTCATGCCTTTGGACTTTCTAGCCACTAGAGTCATGAGTCAAATAAACCTCTATTTTTTATTTATGTTAGCAATCTATTTAGCAGACTGAGACAGTTTTATAGTGAAAATAGTAGAAGAGTTAAAAAGAACTACTCTATTAGGAATAAGATAAATTTGAGCTCATAAGATTTGCTGTTATATTGTCTGCCAGGATTAGGATAAGAGAGAAATCAATGGTATCCAGTAGTTTTTGGTTTAAGCAATTGGTAGGTGATGTTAATATTGCAAAGGTATACTTACCAAAAATATTTGAACACCAATAGTTAAGCTGAGGTAAATTAACTCTGAGGTATTTATTAGTTATTCAATTGAAGATATCAAATGGCTATGAGTTTGGAATTCAGAACTGAAATCAACACCAGACATGTAAGTTAAAATTTAGGTGTTTATAGTCATGGCAACAGAAAGATTTTCCAGAAGGGGCTATAAATAGAAAAGAAATGGGAATTTGTTGAAAAATTTAGAGACCTAAAGTAGCAGCCACAAGGGAGACTAAGACGAAACAACCAATGAGTTAGGAGAAAATCCATTACAACACAGTACATAGGAAACATAAATAATATTTGTTTTCATAAAATGTATAATCAGCCTATACAAACCGTTGTCAGCTGAGAAGTGATCACTGTATTTGGGGTCATTGGTGATTGGGCTTGAGCACATTCAGTGGAGTGATCAGGAGCAGAATCCTGGCTGAACTTGATAAAAAAACGGAGGTGATAATGTAGATATGAAGCTGTGCTCTAAATAGGAAGAAAAAGATGTGATTATATTTTTAAAATAGAATTTTTAACAGATAGGAAAACCTAAAGAATGATTTGTGCTCATGAAGGAAATAAAACAAAGAGGGAGTAATTGTCTGTGAAGAAGGAAAACATTTCAGGAATAATGTCAAATTGAGATAGATCAGGATCTAAAGGACAAGGGGGAGATATTGGACATTGATAAGAATAAGTAGGTGTCTCCTAAGTAATAGTACCAGTGATTGGGTGACAGTAGGCAGGAAGGAGAATAAATAGAAAGTTTAAAATAACAAAAGAAGGAGCCAGCAGGTAGTATGATGGTTAAGGCACTGGACTTCCACATGGCCAACTATAGTTCAAGTCCTAGATCTGGTGGCTTGAAACACAGTTGGTGCATAGGCATGTGTGCTCAAAATTCTAAAAAGAGAATAGAGGAGAAAGGATTGCAGTTTTGCCGTCTCCCCCAGGGAGGTGATTTCTCACTTTCCCTCTCTCTACCTCTCTCTCTGGCAAATGCACTGTACCCTATGGCGAGAGAAAGAGAAAAAAGGAAGAAAGAAAAAAGAAAGAGAGAAGTAGAAAATAGAAAGAAAAGAGAAGGAAAAAATCAAGAAAGAAAAGGAAAGAAAGAAGAAATAAAACATATAATACTCTGTTCTAACCATCTCTCTATAGTATTTCCAACCTCCCACCCAAACCATGACATTCCCGCTTGATTTTTATGTCTTCTGGCAGTGAGAGGCTAAAATGACTGGCCAACTTTAGCAACAGCTGTAACCACAGCTGAAAGAAGTCTGTCAATAAAACTTGACCATAAAAAAAGAAAGAAGAAAAAAAGAAATATGAATTCAACATTAAAAATTGAAGAACTAAATACAGATCATTACAAGGTAATGCATCCATTAAATATGATTTTTAAATGAGAGTAAAAACAAAACAAAACAAAAAACTTTACCAAGTTAATTTTAAATTGTGGATAAAAACTGTTTCTATATAGTAAAATGTTAAGCATATAAAAGTCATAACAGAAGCACCTATGCTAAAATATTAATAATGGTTAAATATAGGTCTTGGTATTATGAATAAGGGTTATTTCAAACTTTGTATGTTTACAAAATCAGAAAAAATAATTTTAAAAGAAAATACACACTAATTGATTAATACAACATAAAGATGGATTCTCTATCCTACCACATATACTCCTATGTAAGAGCAAACTAATTTAGCACAGTATTCTTTTAGACATTTCATCTGAAAGATTGAGTCTTAAATAAATTGTGCATGATTAAGAACTTTTATTGGAGAATCTCTTAAGGGAAAATCTTATAGAAGAAAAGCTACTTTTATTCAGGATTTCAAAATGATGTATTAGAAATAGGTGGTAACACAGCAGTAATGCCACAGTTCATCCTTGGTAAATGCCCTCGGTTTGTATGTCGGGACCTCCCTGAACACTCTGAGTGCATGGGTGTGCCTGTGATCTAGGCTGGCTGAGACTAGGCTGGATCATGGGAAGACCCCGTTAGTAATACTTGTATTTATCTCTCTTTCTCTCTATTTCTGTCTTCCTCACTCACAAAATAAAACATAAATGAATTTTTTAGATGGTAAGTTAGTTTCGATGAGCTTCTTAAAACAAAAAGAGGAAAGAGTGTAAGAATCAATAGTGAATATTCAAGGGACAGAGGAAAATGACATAGAAGTAAATAAATATCCAAGACACACTATAGTCTCCACATAGAGTATCTGCAGAAGGAATTTAGGAAACTGGGGAAGAAACTTTGACTTGTGTCAGATCAACATTCTACAATTTCAGTCATTGAATATTTTACCACATGATGCCATTTCTATAGATTTTAATTTAGTGAACTGCAGACCCAGAATTTTTTTTAATTATAGATATTTTCACTGCATATATACTATAATTACATTATTAATTATCCCATTAAACAAATAGTTTTCCTTTCCTTTTTAATTGTTACTACATTTAATTGACAAGTAATAATTATAAGTATGTTAGGATATGGTGAAAATCTTATACTAAAATTCAAATTAAAAAGATGAAATCATATAACATATGGTCTATTGATATATCTATAAGCAATAAATAAAAACTAAATTGGAAAATGAATTCAAAATTTTATAATGAAGAAGTATAGAGAGAAATAGGATAAAGAATACATAAATGGACTCTCATTATTTCTTTATTTCTTCTGTTTGCATCTCTCTTTAAACAAATAAAAATACAAAACAAGATGGTAAGATGTGATCACTGTTGACAATAAACCTAGTATATACATGTTTGTTAAGCGTTTTCTATATCATAATCTAATTCACAATAAAAAAATTATTATTTGTAGCTAGGACTTTGGGTGTTTGGGATGGTGATGGGGACTACCGGGGACCTCTCACATAACCAGTTTATTATTTTCTCTCTTGTCTTCATGGTGATCCTGGCTGGGTGCCCCATTTTCCTCTCTGTGCTGCCATCTCAAATCTCCATGACTCAGAGGCCTTTCTTCTCTCCTTTGCTAATTTCCAGTGTTATCTTCTAGATCTACCTCTCAAAATACAGATTATTTGTTGTTTCAGTCCTTCTTTGCAGAGTAGATGCATTAGTTATTTCTAGTCAGCCATCTCGATCTAAAACATATAGTATTCTACTACAGTTGCATGTTTACTGTTACTGTATTATGTAGAAAGGACCTTCCTTTTCAGAACAGGAATCTGGTAGAACCTTTAAAAAATAATACACAATGCATTTTGGTAGAGTCTTTCGAGGAAGTATTTTGTTACTTTTTTTTTTTTTTAACAATGGTAAAGAAAATCAAAGAACATGTGATAGTCTGCTCAGTGTTTTCTTAGTTGTTTGTTTCAGATGTGGTTAAAGACCCTGGAGTATACACTGTATAGAGTAGAAGACACTGGAACAATGCCTTAATGCTTCTAGTCTCAAAACATGGAAGGTAACTGAAATATGTGCCCATTGTAAGTGCCTCCAATATGTTTGCCGAAAATAAAAAGTAATATAGCCTCAGCTAGGTGCTACTTTATAGTATGCTTATTCTACTCACTGAGTTTTATACCTAAAGTGAGACATATGTAAACAGATGTGTATATATCAGCTTAGCTTGCTATTGAATATATTCAGATTAATTAAGATATTTTGTGAATTAATAAAATGTCAGGAAAAAAGGCATGGAAATCAGCTGTTAATTCCAGAGACAGTGTGGGAGGAGAGTGGGAAATGGCAGAGGGTGAAAGTAGGGGAAAAAAGGGAAAAGAAAAAAAAAATCTATAAGAAACAAGAAATGGAAAATTATTTGTAGACAACAACATGCACGGTAATATCTTTAATTTAGCCAATATAAAGTGTACTCTGGATGGAAAAAAGAAAAAAATCTTAAAAAAAAAGTAATGAAAGGATAGAGTGAAGAATATATCCTCTAGAAAAATCTATATTCTCAAAGAGTTGTTAGTATTTTTTAAATAATGCTTCTTGTTATGTTTTCTAAAGAAATCATTCTCCAAGGCAGAGTTGGAATTTCATGGGACATTCATTGGCCATGTTTGAGGGTTTTGGGAGGCCATCACTCTTTAAGGTTGTTTGTTGGTCTGGAACATTGACCAGGAGCAAGTTGTTTTGTAAGCCAGAAATAAGAAAAATATTTTAAAAATTCCTCTGTGCTGTCCTAAGGGAAACTTATTCCTAATCAATTGAAGATATCTGAGTGTATTGTTAAGTCTCGTAGGAGTATTAAAATGACCTGCCCTGTGTAATTCACCCAATGTAACACTATCCATTATGAATGTAGACTAAATAATTACTTGTAAATATCAGGAATATATCCAAAGTGGCAACTGGGCTATATTTTAAGATGGCTAATAGTAGTGATATTTAAGTTGTAGAATTACCCAGATCAAAATCCAGAAAAATAAAGCTTAATTCATATTTCAAGCACTTACCTAATATTTTTTCTCTCTCATACATTGCGTTGTAATAGGTAGCAGTGCAGAATGAAAAACAGGCAGATTAGACAATGAGAATTGAGAAAGGAGATCTATTTCTGACTACAAAGATATATTTATCTTTTACATGGGGAATCAACAAATTCTCTGAATATTTTAACAGAGATATTTCAAAAATCATGATTTGACTATTTTAATATACTTAAGAAAGCTGAGTAGCATTGTGAATCGCTATTTTTTTCCTTTGTTGTCTAAGCTATTACTTTTGTCTGTGTGTCTGTGTGTGTGCATCAGCACATGTAGCTATCTTTATTTCACTTCCATTTAGATCCAGAGCTTTTAGAAAAGTCTGTTCTAAACAAAATAAAGCCTTTTTATGAAGAAAACAAAGATATGCTCAGTGGCATAGAGGTAATGCACTGCTGAAGAGAAACTGAATCCCTGATGGTGACCATGGATTGAATTCCTGGCCAGGTCAGGCTGAAACACACCCAGACACATGCACACGTGCCCAGTATCTGATGGCACCACAGCATAATTAGAACCTGTGAAGGGTGCTCATGCTCTTTCTCTCGCTCATGCATAGGCATCTACTCCATCATGAAGAAAAAGAGAAAAATGAAGAAAACAAAATCTCCATAAATAATTTATTCTAATTAGAGAGCATGTATAAGTTGCAGTTAGTTAATTAAAATGATACAAACTAGAGTCCAGCAAGTGCTATGCTGGTTAAGGCAATGGATTACCACATGGCCAACCACAGTTCCAGTCCCGGACCCAGTGGCTTAAAACTCATGCCAGGTGTGTGTGTGTGCGTGCATGCCCAAAATCCAAAGAGAAGAATGGAGGAGAAGGCACTGTGCCATGGCCCCCCCCCTGGGGGTTGATTTCTCACTTTTCCTCTCACTGTTCTCTCTTCCCCTGGAAAGCACGCACACTCTATGGCAAAAATAAATAAATTAAAATTAAAAAATAGAATAATTGTAATATATGTTGGATAATTCTGCCTGGAAAACCATACATTTTTTACATAAGATATAATTCCCTAAGTAAAAAGAAAAAGTAATTATCTCATAAAATATGTTTTATTCATTAATTTTACATACTTTATTTTTGAATAAAACTTGATTTTATTTAATACAGAGGGTCTTGGCAAAGTTAATGGAAAATGTATTTTAGGAAAAAATACTGTGCATAGATTTTAAAATTTTTTGTATTAAGATAAACTTGTAATTTAATTAATTCCATTTTATCACAAAATTTTTGCAGTCCCCTCCAATTTTTAGGTTGAATTTCTTTCTGCCTAGAATGTTGTGGGAGAAAAAATTGAGTCCTATATACTTTCACTCCCCTGTGAAATGATAACAAATTATATTATTCTCTTAACATTCCACACAAGCAGCATGTTAGGCAATCTTTAGTGCCCTGTCTTATTTCCCTGAATAGCAGTCATAAGAGAAATTCAAAGGGATGAAATTGCAGGCCAACGATAACAGCTCTTGTAGTATACAGGCATAGAGGCACGTGTAATTAAAGTGAAGACGATGTCCACAATGTGTCTCTCTGTGGAGTAGCTATCACTTGTCAGTTACATTTCAGGTGTTATTTATTTATCTACTAATTTAGTTCACCACTTTTAATTTCCTCACCCTTTATTGTTTCTCACTGTACTCCTTCCTTCTTAATATTGCATAGTTACAAGGGAGCTTCAGACAGTTTTTGAGAAAATGGGATTAAAACATGAGTTTATTTTGGTGCAAAACTTGTTTGAAATCCACACATAGTTTATTTTTTTTTCTTATTTTATTTCAACTTCTTTTATACATTCAGTCACATCATTTAGTTTGCCAAGTGAATATTCCAACATGTAAACATGGAATGTTAGATACCTTTTTTTGGAGAGTGTAGGTTGTGCCAAAATCTGTACATGGCACCAAGGAAGCACAGCTCTGCTTGTAGAGATTCTAGTTGGTGTGTTAGGAAGGAAAGTTGTTAATCACATTCTCAGAAACAAACATAAAGTTGCAGCAATGACAGGTGGATAACTTGGTAGCAACCTCTGTGCTCCTGTAGTAAGAAGTTGGATCTGGAGGTAAGTCTTCTAAAAAAAACCAGCAGAATCCAAAGCATTTAGTATTTTTGCATTAATATGTATCTTAAAAACTACCTTTTTGATGTTGGTTTACACAAGAAAAAAGTTATAATATTTATTTTTAATACACTGAAATAAAATTGAATGCAGTTATTCCATGCTTTGAAATTTTATTCAATTAATGATAATAAAAGGATCAGCAGATGGTGTAATGGTTACATTGCTGGATTCCCACATGAATGACTGTGGTTCAAGTCCTAGACCTGGAGGTTTGAAACTCATGCCAGACACATGTGCATGCATGCCCAAAATCCTGAGAGGAGAATGGAGGAGAAGGGATTGCATCATGGCCACCCCCTCAGGGGGTGATTTCTTGCTTTCTGTCTCTCTCGGTCTCACTGGCAAACACAAGCACATGCATCCCATAGCAAAAAATCTCTCTAAAAAAACTAATAAAAATAAAAATAATAAAAATATTTATGCTTGTGGCTGTTTTTAGATTAATTTATTTTCAGTTGAAAACCATTGTATATTTTTATGGAGTACATTGTGATGTTTTAATCTATGTATACTTTGTAGAAAGTTTCAATCAAGCTAATAACAAATTTATTACCTTGGCAACTTATTTTCTTGGGATGAGAACTTAAAAATTTTATCCTTTTAGCAACTTTAAAATGTCCACTAAATTGTCAACCATTGTTACTAGGTAGTGCAATAAATTACCAAAATCCGTTCCTTTACTCGCACTGAAATTTCGTATGTTTTGATCAATATCTTCCATTTCCTCCTTCTTCTCTCCCATCCTCCAGCTTCTGGTAACCATTTTTCTACTCTGTTTCTGTAAGAGGTCTTTTTTCAGATCCCACATGAAAGTGAGGTCTTACAGAATTCATCTTTCTATGTCTGGTTTGTTTCACTTAGAATAATGATTTCAGTTCCACCTATGTGGTCACAAATGATAGAATGCTGAGTAGTATTGTATAGTATTCCATTTTGTGTATGTACCATATTTTCTTGACCTTTTGATGCACTGATGAATATAATTAGGGTTTTTCCATATCAAAACTTGATACATGGGATTGTATCAGATGAAAAGTTGCACAACAACAACAAAAAATAATTAATAGGGTAAAATATAATCCAGGGTTTGGAGAAAATATTTACAAACCATGTATCTGATAAAAGGCTAGCACGCAAAATACATAGAAAGAATTCAGCTCAAGAGCAAGAAACATGTAAGTTGATTACAACATGAAGAAAGAACCTGAACAGCTATTTCTGAAAAGAAGAGATACAACTAGCCAACACATACATGAAAACACGCTCACTATCTAGTATCAGAGAAGATAAATTAAAACCACAAAGAGTAATAATCAAGACTTGTTAGAATGGTTATCAAAACAATAAAAGATAAGAAGTGTTGGCAAAGATGTGGAGAAAACTCTTGTGTACATTGGTGGAGATATAAATTAGTACAGTCATTTTGGGAAATAGGATTGAAATTCTTAAAAATTGATTACCATCAAGATATTTCACTTCTGAGTATATAGCCAACATATTGAAATAAGTATGTTGAAGAGATGTGCACACTCCCATGTTCATTTCAGCATTTTCCATAATATCCTATATATATATATATATATATATATGTGTGTGTGTGTGTGTGTGTGTGTGTGTTTAATGTAAAACTGATACGATAAACACAATGATCAGTGTATCTTAAAAGCTTTACTTCAATCCAGACATTTTTAAATTAGAAGAAGAAGGACCAGCAGATGGTGTAATGGTTACATTGCTGGACTCCCCATGAAGTCGATTGTGGTTTGAGTACTGGAACTGGTGGCTTAAAAGTCACCCCGGGCATGTGTACACGAGTGCCCAAAACCTTAGAGGAGAATGTAGGAGAAAGGATTACAACATGGCCATCCCCCCTGGGGAGTAATTTCTCACTTTTTGTCTCTCTGTTTCTTTGATGAGTGCACACACCCTATAGCAAAAATCTCTAAAAATAATTAAGTAAAATAAATAAATTAATAATAAATAAATAAAATCAATTTAAAGAAGAACTAGATATATGGTATTGTTGCTCTAATTTTCCTAAAAAAATTATCTAAATATATTGAATTCTTTATTCTAGTCAATGTTATCCTGAAATAGAAACATGCGTCTATCCTCTCTCAATCAGATATTTGCATGGTGAATCACTCTTACATTATGAACATATGGCAGTGTTCTGAGAAATATCCTTTGTGAAAGGCTGGGTATGCTCTTTGTAAGTTCAGTGAAAGACAAGGTAGGTAACAGAGCTGGTAAACAATGATAGTTCTAAACTTAGCTCCCTGTCTGCAAATCCAGAAGGAGGTATTTGGATTCACATCGCTTAGGTTCGAATACCAGCTCTCCCAATTACTGACAATTGTATCAGTTTGAGCATTTTCCCTGTGAGTCTCTTTTTATTTGCCTATCTGGGAAGCAAATTCATTCTGAAGCTCTATAAGACAATACATATACCAGTTTAGTGCAAAATGTGTGGCACATAGCAAACACCTAGTGCATCTTATAGATAGTATTACAAGAAGTTTTAACTGTTGCCGGACTCCCACAGGGCCGACTTCAGACCAGTGACCTGAAACTCATGCCAGGTGCATGTGCATGCATGCCCAAAATCCTTGGAGGAAAATGGAGGAGAAGGGATTACAACATGGCCATTCTCCCAGAAGGAGAATGGAGGAAAGGGGGTTGTGGCATGGCCAACCCTCCTAGGGGAAGGGGGATGATTTCTCGCTTTCCTTCTCGATGTCTCTGTCTTTCTCTCCCTGCAGTAACCACATATGACCTAAGGACAAACTTCTTTAAAAAAAAAAAAAGGTACAATAAGTGCTATAGGCAATATTCAGTGCATGGGTCTTAAATAGTCTTTTTTCCTCTTTTCCGGCCACACATGCACTTATTGTTGACCCTAAAAATACAGAACTCTGTCATCTTGAGTTTTACAGTGATAAAGTATGTATGGAGAAACTTACTTAATGTCACTTTTATTTCATTTTGAACGTAAGAAAAATATTTTTTTATTGTCATCTTATCCTTTCTCTCCTCCATATTCTTTAGTTCAATGATATCTTCTATGCTTGTATTAAGAGGAATAAATTTTGGGAACCAGCAGTTAGCATAATGGCTATGTCGCTGGACTCCCAAGTAGTTGACTGCAGTTTGTGTCCTGGACCCGGTGGCTTAAAACTCTCACCAGGCGTGTGTGCGTGCATGCCTAAGATCCCGAGAGGAGAATGGAGGAGAAGGGATTGTGGCGTGACCATCCCCTCTGGGGGGTGATTTCTCGCTTTCTGTCTCTATGTCTCTCTCTGTCTGTCTGGCGAGCGCACGCGCCCTATAGCAAAACCTCTCCCCCCCCCAAAAAAAAGAGGAATAAATTTTGAAATTTATTAAGGAGTCTTGGGTTTGTACAAACAGCAAAAAAAGTATCATTCCTCCAAAGATTATTGGATTGTAATTACTAAAACATAAAGAATTCCTTTTAGACTTATGAATTTTCAAAACAACTTTGATTTTAGCTTATAATTTATTTTACTATTGTTGTTGATGAGTTTAGAAATATCAGTTATCTGAGTCAGCCTAGGAATAAATCATGTTGATTCTCTTCTCTATTAGTTACAAGTTTTCCAAGGGACATTAAAGAAGTGACTTCTTTTATTTTTATTGTTTCAAAAGTGGAGCTGTTAAATATAAATGTATTTCAGCTAAATAATTTAACCTTTCCAAAGATTCTAAAAGCCTCATTTATGGGGAAAACATAAAGACCTATGAATTAGAGCAAAATTCTGGCAAGGATGAGTGTAGCTAATGAATATATTACTCCAAAGTCAGCCAAAAAAAATGTGTTCTTTACAAATAAGGGACTGATGAAATTGAGGAAACCAGGATTTGTCTAAGGAGAACAAACAAACAAGGGCAGAACATCACTGAATACCAAGTACCAATGCAATACTTACTTGGAAGAGCAGAGTTTCACCATTTCACAGTTTCATATACCCCTCAATCACATAGAGAAGTGAGATGTTAAATATTTGGTGGTTTTCTTAGTTATATGTCCTACTATTATTTTTTTGAGGTGTGTTTGTATGATTGAACAACCTGTACGAAGATCACAGTCTACATTATTTGATCATTCAAATAATAAAAAGTAAAATCTAAACATTATCTTTTACTTTTCAGATACTTGATTTTTTTAAAAGTAAGTCATCCATTTTTTTAGGATTTTAAATAGCAACTTTGTTATTTTTTAGAGACATAAGAGATAAAAGGAAATGAAAATTATTATTCTTAAATGAGAAAACATTAATAATGCTAATGTCACTATTTAGAAAGGCAAACTGTGTTTAGCAAAACAACTATTATACAAGTAAGCACTCGCCTTTCGGAAATAATTATATTCTGAATAATGCCAAAATCATCGACTGCCTTCCAATAGAGCTGCATATCTGTTAAAATACTTGACCTAAATAATGCAAATATGAGTGGTCTTCAAAAAATTCATGGAATTATGGGACCAGCAGCTAGCATAATGGCTCTGTCGCTGGACTCCCATGTAGTTGACCATGGTTCGCGTCCCGGACTCAGTGGCTTAAAACTCACCCTGGGAGCATGTGCGTGCATGCCCACGATCCCAAGAGGAAAATGGAGGAGAAGGGATTGTGGCGTGGCCATCCCCCCAGGGGGTGACTTCTCACTTTCTGTTTCTCTGTCTCTCTCTATCTGGCCAGCGCATGCGCCCTTTAGAAAAAACTCTCAAAAAAAAAAAATCATGGAATTATGAACATAAAAAACTATGCCTGGAATTCAAAAAATTTTAAACCAAAATAAATTCAGACTTTAATTCCATTTTCCCATGAA